CCCCGCTGTTTTTTCGAAGTCGCGGTCGTTAACGCACCGCGACTTTCGGGGGTCGGGCAAGCCAACGCCCGGTTGCTTAAAAAAAAAAAAAAACACAAAACAAAACAAAACAAAACACAACAAAACAAGAAAAACCTTTGGTCCCGGGATTACGCCCATCAAAAAGGCGACATTCGAGAATCAATAATAATAATATTAATAAAAAAAAAGTGAAACATTAATCAACAAGGGTTTAACGGCAAAATCGTGCGGAGAGGGAAGGAAAAACAGGGGGGGAGGGGGGTGCTAATGCCACCTTGGCCCCGTTGAGCTACCCTGTAAGCAGCCAAACCACGCGGGATAGCCTCGCCGGACTCTCAACCCCTCTGTTCCTTCGCACCACTTTGATCTCCCCGCGTCGTTGCCGCTCGATCTCGATCCCTGAATCTCTCTAATGGAAATCCGACGTAGTAACCAATAATACGAGGCCCAAGTCTGGGTCTAGCTTTGACGGACACCTAAATAAACGGATACTGTGCGATGCGCAGATCTACCAAAATGCTTTCAAAGTCACATTGTTGTCGATGTCGTCCTCTGCATATACGCACAAGTCGCCGACAAGCGCACCAATCAAAAGGCAAAATCCTCTTAATCCCAGTTTAATCAGAAAATGAAAATTGTGCCAGCGATCGCGCTCGCTCTTCAATCATCAACAAATTAAAAAAAAAAAACATGTGCGCCTCAAGTCCGCGCGCCCACACACTCCGTACTCTAGTAAACCATATAGTCAACGTAAATCACAGACACAGCCGAGCCCTCGCGCGGTATGCTTAAACCTTAAACCTCTGATTTTTTGTTTCTTGCAAAAAAAAACAGGGTGGATACCCTTGTAAGGGTATTCGCACCGACAACGGCGTCACTCTCTATGCAGCAAATGGGTCGTTTTCGTCTCTCTCTCTCTCGCGGCACGATGCAGTCCCTTCTTCTCGGTTTCATTTTCCTTCTTCCTTTTTTTTTTTTTTTTTAAGTTTTCTTTGTTTTTCGTTTGTTTTTCGTTTGTTTTTCGTTTGTTTTTCGTTTGTTTTTCGTTTGTTTTTCGTTTGTTTTTCGTTTGTTTTTCTTTTGATTATGTTCACATTTATTGTAAACAAATTTTGATGTCCTCGAAGTTACTATACCGGTACTTCGAGGCTCCCGTAGCTGTAGGTTAGGCCTACAAGTAGCTTTAGGGTTGCGCCTTGACAACCGGTAGGTACTGGTGGTTTAAGTAGGTTTCCCCTATTCGAAGTTAAAAAAAAAAAGGAAAAAAAAAGGATCCGGCTACAACGGACTGTTGCCAACTCACTGAGTTGTGTAGTGCCTCCACCAACCTGAGTTTTTTTTTTTTTTTTTTTTTTTTTTTTTGTAAACTACGCTATATTCTTGTCTCAATTTCACCTTTCACTATCTACCCACCGTGACCAGGGGCCTCGACTGACTAGCCAAGCGTAAAACGGTGTGTGGCATGCGAAATGTGTTTAAAAAAATACGAAAAAACCTAAGTAGCAAATCCGGATATCCGGCAGACCAATTTTATCTGGAATTTTCAATCCGCATGGAATTTCCAGATTAATTCCGGATATGGAAAATCCGGCCCTGCGCAAAACTTTTTTCTTTACCGAAACCAAAAACTTTCAAAAAAATCTGAAAAAAAATTATGTTGTTCATATCAATGATATGAACAACTTTTGGCTTGAGAACATCTTTAATTACTCAACAGATATGAAGATAAAAAATAAAACAGCACAAGAAAATAATATTTAGATAAAAAATAATTTAAAAATTATAGAATGAATTAAGTATCCCCCCTCTAAAACCCTTTATTCCCTATCTTATCCCCTTTGAACCCTTCCAAGCCGTATTAAGCTTTTCATGAAATAGGAACGTAGTTCTATTGTATTTTGCATGCGCAATATCACTTTTTTTTCTTTTTTTTTTTTGCTTTTTTTTTACCTTTTTTTTAATCATCCGGATTTCCGGATGATCCTACCCCCCGATCATCCGGCCAGATAACCCATGCCACCTAGGAAAAAACAGTTTTCCTGCGTTTTATTTTGCCCCGTTTATAAGGAGCCCGCAATAATGACTGACATCCGTCATTATTACACCGTATCCGTTTCATCCCATACATGTGACCCCGTTAAACTAAGCCAAGCATGGAGAGAGAGAGAGAGAGAGAGGGAGAGAGAGAGAGAGAGAGAGAGAGAGAGAGAGAGAGAGAGAGAGAGAGAGAGAGAGAGATTTTTTGAAATGGGGAATAACTATTTTGATGTCCTACATTTGTTCTTCGGATAGTATCTTGCAAGCCCGTGTATTTCTTAATCATCTGCCTTCTCGTTTCGTAATGTTCTTGTGTTTGTCATGTGTGTGGGTGTTGTATATAAACCATAAAAGCCCTTTGTTTGTCGTGTTTTGGTCCGTATTCAGTCCCCATCTTTGTTTAAAAATGGTTGTATTCTTTTCTCCATCTTTGTTCATCACGTTGAACAGTACCCTCGACACAAGGCACAGAGTCGAGGTTTTTTTTTCCATGTATGTGACACGTTGAATGACGAGCAGTGCCCTCAACAGAAGGCGCCTGTGCCATAGATTCGACCGACACGTTGAATGACGAGCATTGCCCTCAACAGAAGGCACCTGTGCCATAGATTCGACCGGTAGGTAGTCATGCATGTGACACGTGTCATAACGAATACCGACCTCGACATGTCATAGGTGTGGATGTTAAGATATCACCATCCATGTTTTGTATCTGACACGTGGCACGGCTAACACTACCTAGGACAAGATAGCCACGGTGGCATTGCTCCATCTGTCTTTACCATGCACGTGAGTGACGTGACACATGTCATGGCGTGCAGTATCCCCAACATGACTCTTATTTTTTTTTTTTTATCGCACCGTAGCTGTTTTAAATTTGCAATTTCGTCCGGTCCCGTTGTTTCGGGGGGGGGGGGTTGGGGAAAGCACAAATAAGACATGGTTTGTAGGGGGCGAGGTGTACAGAAGAAGAAGAAGAAGAAGAAGAAGAAGATTTGGTCTCTCGAGGCGCATTCCTCCTCCACTTGCAAAAAAAAACCGTCAAACATGAGTTCAAAACGACGACGACGACGACGACGACGACGACGACGACGACGACGAAGAAGAAGAAGAAGAAGAAGAAGAAGAAGAAGAAGAAGAAGAAGAAAAATTCAGTGCTTCTATATGAAATAATCATATCAAAACTTCAAAAGTAGTACTCAGGAATCGCACTCACTAATCGCACTCACGAATCGCACTCATGAATCGCACTCACGAATGACACTCACGAATCTCACTCACGAATCGCAGTCATGAATCGCACTCACGAACCGCAGTCACGAATCGCACTTCAACGTTTAACACTCACTATTCGCACTGATGGGGGGACCGGTAACGATGACCCGCTTCCGCGGGACCCGTCGTCCCCCATCTCTCTCTCTCTCTCTCTCTCTCTCTCTCTCTCTCTCTCTCTCTCTCTCCACAGCTGCTTTCGACCGTGGATTTAGGTGAGAACATCTACAAATATAATATAATCATAAAGAAATCGAAATAAAAAAATATGAAGAATGACATAAAAGAACAAAAAAGAAAAAATGAGGGAGTTGCCAAGATCGGGTCGCTTCACTCACACATACCCGTGTGAAATGGTAAAGCACTCGGAGAGAATGTTATTTGAGTGGGCCTATCTCAACAAACGTCACGAAATAATGAACAAAAGATAATTACGTTCGACAGTTGCAACCTCATTCTGAAACATTCGACAAACTGGAAATCAAAGAATATGGCGTTTTAAAACACAAAGAATAACATAAAAGAAAAATGAAAAAAAAAACATGCAGTACCAAGATTGGGTCGCTTCACTCACAGATGGTCCGTATATATATATATATATATATATA